AACTCAAACCTTCTGTTGAAACTTCGTGACTGCCGAAGTCTTCAAAGTATAACGCCAAGCAAAGAAACTCTCACAAGAACTTCAAGCATCACTCTCCGTACCTAAAGGCAACTGACTTCCGAAGCTCCTACGTCACAAGGAAACCAACCATTCACCACGAGGGCTCTCCCAAAAAGACGTCATCAAGGAAGATTGCCAGCCAACCAGCAACGGGACTCTCTCAGGCAGAAAAGGAAACCCCTCTCAGCTTTCCAGCACAAACGCAAGTAACAAACAAAATATTCTACCTGCTGAAACTGGTGCTGAATCGATCTTAAGCAACTAAAGATAAGCCAAATCTCTGCTTTTGTGATTTTCTTGGTGCGATCTAAGAACGAGTAACTGGTGCTGAATCGATCTTAAGCAACTAAAGATAAGCCAAATCTCTGCTTTTGTGATTTTCTTGGTGCGATCTAAGAATGAGTAACTTACTAGATCTTTGTGACTTCCTCAGAACTCCGTTAATCCTCATCCTTCGAACTGTATGTGTGTGTGTGTGTGTGTGTTTGTGTGCTTTTGATAGTTTTAGTTCTATGTAATCTATAGAGTAGTTCAAATAAATTCTTGTCTCATAAGAATCATTGTCTTGTGTCATGTATTTTAAAGTTAAAACTTTGCCCAGATCGTGCTACCTAGCTCGTAGCTTAATAATCATCACTAACAGTTATTATGACCGTGGCCAGGGCATAATATAAATATCCAAATTGTTAAGATATACTGATGTTAACGTCTCGCTGGACGAACAGTTGATAAAGTGTAAAATATCAAATTTGGAATCAGTTCTAATCAGGTTGACTTTGAATCTTCAGTTTCGAATTCCCCTCTCAAAAGAGTTAATTTCCCTTCAATTGTAACATACATATTTACATACATAATTATTCAGGTGCACGTGTAACAACTTGCGAAAACTTGAGGCTACAGCAGCACTTCTTCTTCGTCATCGTCTTGTCTGATGCACTCAACCAAGCGTTCTTACCATGACCTTGCCCCTCCCCAACCATTCAAATTTCCGTAGGCGGGAATTATTTTAATGATATTCTAATGGGCCGCTTTGTGATATCACAAAACCCGGAAAACAAACGCTGTAGTCCAAACGAGCCGTTCGTTGTAGTTCTTGAAAAGGGATTTTTAAAAAACGAAATATCTCCCTTTGGAGTGGACTTTGAGATTTGTAAGTTTGAAGATTTTTTTTATGCCCAAACATACACACTGACTAAAATTCAAAATGTGAAAAAGCATAACAGGACCCCTTTAATGTAGCTTGCGCCAACAGTTGTACACGGAAGCAGCTCCGGGCGGATGATGTATGAGTTCAGCCTTGCGCATGCGCCGGTGAGTCTCGTGAAAACCAACGTTTGTTTACAGGATCAAAGGAAGCAAAGTTTCCTTACTTTAACAGAGGAAAACCAGTCTCCTCTTGGCTTATATCGAAATCCTCTGACATTCTTCTTTACAAATCCTCGTTTTGTACTTCTAATTAGTGACCGTTGTTTTG